TCCAAATAAATTCCAAGAAGCTAAATGACAAATTAGAATATGATGAGGGGTAAATACTGTTGCACTAGCTAAATATTTCACAAGTATGAAAAATACAACTTACAATCACTGCACTCCTAGCAGCCCTTTGTGGTATGAATATTGTGCACACTGGTGTTGCACTGTATTGTGCAGCTCTACTGAACATTATAAATGAGTGGAAGATTATTTTTCCATGCATCTATTAAAACCTGGACATATATCAAGTCGTCACTCTGATTAAAGGGTTCACAAACATAATTTAGGCTGGCAACTTTCTGAATCTTTCCAAAGATGTTTCATCTTCAGATCACCTTCACAGGTTGCCTCTTTAGATTTCTGTCTTGAAACTATTTTATTTTTAATGAACCAAAGGAGAGATTTCACCTTTATTTCATCAGAGTTTATTAGGATGCTTTTATTGCTCAAACTAACTAATTTAGGCAGATCACAATCAGTCTGTCTTCAGTTAACTGCAGTGGGACACATGACATGATCCCTCCTGGTGGTGAAAACCAYGTTTCCCTGAGTGCACATACATAATAAATGAGCCAAGGTTGTTATTGGGTGAAGCATCTTTTTTTTTTCCCATTGTCATTGCAGAAATCATCTGAGTTGCTTTATCCTTCACGGTTCCTCTCCTCACCTCCCCTTTTTTTTCCTTTTCTTGTGTCTTACTGTCGATCTTCCTTGTTGTGCTCTCCTTATTTTCGGTCCCCAGAGTGTCACAAAGCCGCTCGGCAGGAGCACAAATCCCCGAGTTCCAAACGAGCTCTCTGCAGCTAAAAACAGCCAGTCATCTTTGTTAGCGGATGAGCGATACCGCAGCCTCTCCGTTGTAAAAGAACGCTCGTAACAACACACTCAGGTGGTTTTAAAAGTATTGGCATCACAATTTTAGAATAAAATGTTGCCTTTTCTCCCTTTTTTATGTTTCTGTAGATGTTTATCAGAAAAATGGATTTAAGTGAACACAAACAGCTCAGCGTCATGAAAGGGTAGTGATGGCAGCCATATTTGTTGGATCTAAGCAAGAGTTGGGAAGTTTTAAATGACCTCTGTGCAGACAGAGTGTTCCAGCGTTATCAGCAGTGAGCAGCAGCAGCCAAGAAGTTTATAGAGGCTGGCTTTAAAGAGACAACAGAACGCACACAGATCATCTCAAGGTGATTGCAACAATGGGCAAAAAGTTTATTACGCAACCAGAGCATGTACAGCAGTCTGCTGAGTCATTCTGGCAGCTTTATATGCGCATATATTCTAAAATAATCAGTCCAGATACAGTCTTATATGGTGCCAAGATTTTAGCTTTAGCTCTGCAGCTAACGTTTTATAAGTGCCTGAGCTGCTCCTGAACACAGAACCCTAAAAGTTACATGATTGGATGTGATGTGTGTCTGTGTGAACTACCTGCTGCAGCTGTTCCTCACTTTTTGGGATTAATTCACTCTGAAGTGTCTGTGTCTGTAACGCCTGATGCATGTGGACACGTCTGAATGGTGTCACTTCTTGTTTGCTGCGTCGTCTCTTTTCACCCCGCAGAGAACAAAAATTTAAAAAACAGAAACGTAAGTCTCGTAAGTCTTGAAAAATTAGAACTTTTATTACAAATTTGGCTCAGTTTTCTCAGGAGAATTTCCACGGATGATATTACGACATAAAACCCTTTGAGGTGACAGACTCCAGATGTCTGAAACATAGAAACGTTTTCTCAGCTGCTTCTCGTTTGTGTTTCTCACTTCAGGTTTGTCACAGCTAATGATCCTTACATCAGAAGTAGGCCTGTCACGATAACAAATTTTGCTGGGCGATTAATTGTCTCAAAATTTATTGCGATAAGCGATAATATTGCCTGGTGACTGTTTTACAACTAATAATTATAAAAGCGTAATGTGTAATGGTGCGTTCACACCAAACGCGATTTCAGCGTCAGGAGCAGCAGGTTTACATGCAAAGTCTATGGT